CCTCTTGGCAGGGCGCCCTGCGCTTCGATCTCCCCAGAGCCCCGCATAGACCTGGCGCGCCGAATCAGACGGAAAAGTTTACGGGGGCCAGCTGGCCGTGTTTCTTTTTGAGCTCTTTCAGCCTTCCTGCCCCATACGGCCAGTTCCACACGTGGCCCGTGGTTATGCTGGCGGCGCCGCACGCGTTGCCCCCCTACACAAACAACCCTCCCATTATTTTAGGGGCTTTGTTTTTACTCGTTTTTTTGATCACATCTCAGGTGGACGTTCAAACCGACAGAAATACGTTCATACATGGTGTCCACCCCTCGGCGTCGGCTCCTGGGCTGGGTGTGATGTATTGGTGGCGTTTTGATTTGGTTAAAGGGGCGCGTTTGTGTGTTGACTGTCGTTCAGACGTTTAGTTTTTTTTTTTGGGTGTTGCTATTGCGCTGTAGGTGTTCAATTTGTTCACCATCTATGGGGATTTTATTGTGCTGGGTGATTTATCTGGCTGGCGTTGTCTATTTTTCTTTTTCTTGCTACCATCATATATATATATATATATATATATAATGCATTTTTGATTGGGCATGTAGTGAAGCATAAGGAATTCTTCTTCTGGCCATTTTGTAGTTATGACCACTTTTTTAACGTTCACTTTTTTTTTGTGTAGGTGTTTTTTTTTCTATTTATTCTCTTTTTTTTTTGTGGCATATTGCACGTCGTCGCAGGGTATATATATATGTGTATATATTCATCGGTTTTTGTATGTCTGTTTCCGTTTATGTTGCTGTCTTTGTTCATCGTAGTGTGTTTTTTATATGTTTTGTTCTTAGTATTCTAGTGGATACACTATAAGGCTAATAATAATGTTTTCTCGTACAATCTTTTGTGCGCAAAGGAGAGTGCCATTTTACCCCATAAATCCGAAAAATCCGATTGTCTTTTTTGACATTACCATTGGGTCTCAATCAGCAGGGCGAGTTGAGATGGAACTTTTTAAAGACGTCGTTCCAAAAACAGCGGAGAACTTCCGGGCGCTATGCACTGGTGAGAAAGGTGTGGGACGTTCTGGCAAGGCACTTTGTTATAAGGGAAGCAAGTTCCACCGCGTTATTCCCCAGTTTATGTGTCAGGGAGGAGACTTTACAAACGGGAATGGCACAGGGGGTGAATCAATCTATGGAATGAAGTTTCCTGATGAATCTTTTTCTGGTAGAGCAGGGAAGCACTTTGGTCCAGGCACTCTTTCCATGGCAAATGCTGGACCCAATACCAATGGGTCTCAGTTTTTTATTTGCACATCAGCGACGGAGTGGCTTGACGGAAAGCATGTTGTTTTTGGTCAAGTCACAAAGGGGTACGAAGTAATTGACAAGGTTGAAGGAAACGGTAGTCGCTCAGGGGCTACGCGCCAACCAATTGTCATTGCGGATTGCGGTGAGGTTAACAGTAACTAATTTTTTAAAAATATAACGATTTGTTTTTCTGTTTTGTGATTATGGGGAGGGGTTGTTTTGGATTTTGATACCCTTCCATCTTTTATGGGTACCTTGTTTGGGTTTTCATCATTATTATTATTTCAAACTTGAATCCAGTGTTGACCTTAATGTGGAACGTTTTCTTTAATTAATAAACTTTTTTTAAGGGTAAGTTTTCTAGTTATGAGTTTTGATGCAACGCGTACTGCGCGTTTAGAACATGCCGCTGAAGAAGTGGCAGAGGCTAAACAGTACCTCGTAGCTCTTGATCGACGCCAGCACCAGTACAGAGAGGCTACCCGCGTTCTCAGAAAATCCAGGGAGGCAGATGACGTGTGGCTCTTATGTAGTGGTAGAGTATTTGTGAAGTCAAATTTAAGGCCCAAGGGTACACTTAACTACTTATTCTGGAAACTATATACTGGAGAAAAGGAAATAGAGAATGGACGTGAGGAGTTGAAGGCAAAGGTGGCTTTTCTGGCAGAACTTGAGGGCCCAGATCAAACAATTTCTAAATATTTTCAGGGATTTGAGTTAAAATCAATGACGCCAGAAAAAAATGGGAATGACTAGTGTATAAGTGTATGATTATTATTACGTCTTTAATATGGAATGTTGTTTTAATTTTGTGCAAACCTTAGTATTTTACTTCCTAGGAAGCACCATGAAGAGCACAATGAGTGAGCCATCATTAGTTTCCTTTACCTTTCCGTTAACCAAGACTCTTAGTTGTTGTTTACGTTACCTTTGCATCCAAAGTAATGCTATAAAGATTATTTTTTCGCATCGATGTGGCTGTTCTGAACTGCGTTTGGCGGGCATTAACATTCCTGAATGCAGTTTTTCGGAGATTGTTATTGAAATTTTCCATAATAATAGGATAATTGAGGCTTCAAATGCTGACATCACGAGCATTAAAAAAAGTGTTTCATGGGCGGTTGATGGCCCCTTAATGTTTCGTGCACTGCGGCTTTTTGAGGGATATATTCCTTTGACGTTGGAATTGACTTGTGACCTCACTAGTGTTCTGATGTATCAAGAGGAATGCGGACGTTGGGCGAGAATTGGGGCTCTGCATGATCTTGGGCCTACTCTGAACGTCGACCACGGAATAATGGTTCTCCACCGTGTCCATGATCTTCAAGCTTTTTGCCACATTGTGCGCTTTATTGCAACTTCAGAGGAAGTTAAATGTACTGTTGCTCTTCGGTTTGATAACCTGCAGACATTTATAGAGCTAAAAAACTCGAACGCGACTGCATCTGCACTTGTTGAAGGTGAGTTGTTACAAGGTCACGTTGAGGGAAGTGCAAGAACAGCAGAACTTTTTGGGTTTGCTGAACTGGCTATGCGAGTGAGTGACACTGCTGCACTTTTTGTTGGACTTGGCAGCGATAATCTTGCCATGTTTAGGTTAGATTGGCAATCTGTTCCGAGTGAAAGGTCTTCAGCTTTTTTATATTTTTCTGGTAGTTAGTTTTGTAGAAGCGTGAGTATTTAAGCTGTCATGTTGAATTACTTTCAAGGGCCAATGCTCTCCATTAATTATTATTTATTATTATTGTTTGAGTTATTATTATTATTATTATTGCTTCCCACATTTGCTTTATGGATATTATGATTAGCAGTAGCAATATACAGGCAACAATGGTTTCACTGGAAAGCTCACTGGCACCTTCTCATAGCTTGCTAATACAACATTCAAATGAACTGACACCACAACAATTACGCGTAATTGTGGAATGCTACGGGATTATTTACAACATTTTGTCGTACAACCTCAAGGAAAGCCTGGACCACGTGAGTGTTGTACAATACCATGATGTAGAGAGTATAGAATTGTGCTATATCTCTTTGAGAGCCTTAATCTCTCGTCATGATAACCCAATCAGGAAAGTTGCTTGGGTTCATGAGGAAGCTGTGACGCTGTTGATGCAGAAAAACTACATAGAACCACTCACTCCTAATACACAGGAGAGTGGAATACCCCCATCAAAAGGCTGTTTAGTGTTATATTTATCTAATATTCCAAGCACACATCGTCCAGAGCTTCTAGCGTTTGTTACCAGTCAGAAAAACCTTTTTGACTTTTTTGTCGATCCTGTAAATGGTGGGCGTTGCTTTCTATGTTGTTACACAATTGAGGCGGCGGAGCACATGCGAAAATATATTGTACATCTTCATCCAGAATATAAGAAATACGTTCACTACTGTGATTACGACGATCTACTAAGAGCAAGAGAACAAACAGGGAAAGTTTAAAACTTGGACGTCGTGATTCTGCAGTATCCCCTACCATTACTTTTCCAGGTTGTACGAAGACCATTGTAATCTCGCTATATATATATATATGGGGTAAAGATGGCTCTCTTCCTTCATCCATTGAATGCATGTTATTCTATTCACTACACGAAATTGTGGCACTGTATTTTGATAACAACACATAAGATGCATGGAAGATTGCTATTGTTGCAGAAAAATAGTTTGGATCCACTTTTGTTGTATTATTTCACTACTTTAATGGTCCCCAAGATTAACTCTTAATGCTTTTTGCGCTTATGAGGCTAATGCTATTTGTTTGAGCAGCGCTACTATATGTTTTTTTTTCCTTACTTGAGTGTAGGAGGTGACAAGGGCACAGGAAGCGATGGGCAAGCACCGTGTGGCGCTGGTGTCAGATTTTTTCTTTCCGGGATTTGGCGGAGTGGAGGTGCACATCTACAACGTTGCACAGTGCCTGATGCGAAGGGGGCACAAAGTGGTTGTGATAACGAGGGCATACGGCGATAGATGTGGTGTGCGGTACTTTACAAACGGCATGAAGGTGTATTACTTGCCGTTGTTGGCGGTGAAGCTCCCTCCCGGGTCAGTGACTCTCCCTACGTGGTTTTTAAGCTTTCCTTTGCTGAGGTCGGTATTTATTCGTGAACGGATTACTGTCGTTCATGGGCATCAAACTACATCGAATCTATGTCACGAGGCTCTCTTTCACGCTGGCACGTTGGAATTAAAGACTTGTTTTACGGACCATTCGCTTTTTGGTTTTGCGGATGCTGCTTCAATTCATATTAACAAGGTATTGGAATGGAGCTTGCGCAACGTGGATCAGGTAATATGTGTGAGTAATACTTCGAAGGAGAACACAGTTCTTCGAGCGAGAATAGAACCGGAGCGGGTCAGCGTGATTCCCAATGCGACCGATACTTCAGTCTTCACTCCTCCAGAAGATATGAAATACAAGTCTTGGGCCTCGAAGGTAGACAAGGAGGGCCTAACAATTGTAGTCATCGCGCGTCTTGTGTACCGTAAAGGTTCGGATCTGTTTGTTGATGTTATCCCTGAGATATGCAAAAGACACCCCGAAATAAAGTGGATTATTGGTGGTGATGGTCCTCGTAAATCACAGATTCAGCAGATGATAGAACGTCACAACTTGATGGACCGAGTGAAAATGCTAGGCCCACTTACGCACTCTGAGGTACGGAGCGTGTTAAACCAGGGACAGATTTTTTTGAATTGCAGCTTGACTGAGGCGTTCTGTATTGCATTAATTGAGGCAGCATCATGCGGCATGCTAGGTGTGTCAACACGTGTGGGGGGCGTCCCTGAGGTACTGCCACCCCACATGTTGCTGCTAGCAGAACCTGACCCAGCCTCCATCACGGCAGCGCTAGAAGAGGCCATTGTCCGCGTTCCTTATTTGTCCCCATGGGAAATACACGAGAGTGTTAGGCGGTTTTACAGCTGGGATTGGGTAGCAGAACGCACAGAGCGAGTGTATGATAGAATTGTTAGCACAACGACACCATCAATGTATGAACGTTTGATGAAGTACGCATCAGTCGGCTTGTTGTATGGAATGATATGTTGGCTTCTCTGTGCTATCGATTGGATACTTTGCAGATTTTTGGACTACTGGTTTCCGGAAGATATGATTGACGTGGCTCCTGACTTCCCCCTTGAGTTGTATACCAGAAACCGGGAGAAGCTCAACGCCCTTGAAAAGGGCGTTTGAAGGGTGGCTGAGAGAAGAGGTGCGGCTATTTTCCACTCATCTCTCTCTTTTTATTTTACCGCTTTCATTATCGCGCTCCAGTTTGTTTGCGCTCTGCTTGCCACATGTGTGTGTGTGTGTGCGTTTGGCAGTCGAGAATGAAACGGGGGCACACACACACACACAGATATATATATATATATATATATATTAGAGGTCAGAAACGGGTGCTGCTGTCAGCTTTAGACTTGTTTGGCAACCCTCAATTCGCTCTTTAAAGTGCTTCTGGCCGCAGATGGCATTCACGTTGCTGTGACTTTTTCTCTCTTCTTTCTTGTCTTTTTCTGCAGAAGGGGATGAAGCGACTTCCTGTCCGAGAGGTCGGTCTGCTCTGTGAACGGCTGCAGTTAGTGCGTAGTAGTGATGCAAAGGTGCAAGGCGTCCTCGCGGAGGGTATTCGCACACGCGTCCTGGACAACAATACGTTGCCTTTTCTTGTCCAGCGACTAGCGCTCAGCGGAAACTGGCAACTTGCGGTACAAGTGCTAGGAAGCGAGTGTCTTGACAGGCAACGTATTGGACGCGACCACAACATTTGGCCGATTCTTGAGCGTGCGGCTCCATGCAATGAGAGTCGCGATGCGATTCGCCGTGCACTTATACGGCTCTATGGTGGGTCATGCCGCACCCAGACAAAATGAGCCAAAAATATGTTTCTTCCCCCCCCCTGCGTGTGTCTCTCTCTCTAATGATTCTTTCATGATTTCGGTGAGGAGCCTTATCCACTTTTTCTTTTCTTTTGATGTTATTATTATTTGGGGGGAAACCTGATTTTTATTTTTTGTCAAGCTGTTGAGGGGTTTTAGGTTTGCCGCTACTCCAATTTTTTTGCCACCATCGTCACGCGCAACGCCGATGAGCAAGTGGGGGAATCTATGTCGGCCACAGCTGCCACCGGACTACTTACGGCGTGACCTCCTCTTCCAGCTGCTGGATTGCTATCAAACAAAGGGCAGTGCGCACCCAACGGTCTCCATAGTGCGTCACGCGGAGAATCCTGTCGTCCGGCTATACGGTGTTACCACCGAAGGACATAGCGTTCTGGTGCACTGCTACAACTACGAACCGTATCTGTGGATCAGGGCCCCAAAAGGTTGGCTCCCAGCGTTCTCAAAGTTGCTCAAATCCGAGTTGAACGCCCAGCTTGACACACTTACACATGCTTCGGACACTGTGGTGCGCATTGAAGTGCACAAGCGACAAAGCCTCATGCACTACCAGGGCGAGGGCCCGACAGAGCACCTCAAAATCGTTGTACAACTCCCACAGCACATCCCAAGGCTGCGCACTCTGCTTTCCGATCACGGAGTTGCGTGTGCGGGGGCGTGGGATGGTGTCCGTGTCTTCCCCACCTACGAGAGTAACATTATTTTTCCATTACGCTTTATCGTTGACAATGGCATTAGTGGTTGCAATTGGCTGACGGTTCCGGCGGGTAGCTTTTGCATTGCCACGGAGCGTACGTCAACCTGTCAAATTGAACTGTGTTGCTCGCATGAGGCGGTGCAAAATCATGATGCAGTTGGAAAATATTTGTCCATTGCCCCGTTTCGTATTCTATCCATCGATATTGAGTGTCAGGGTAAGAAAGGTCTTTTTCCAGACCCTAATGAGGACCCTGTTATTCAGATTGCTAATCACTGTATTAGCTACGGCCATGAGGCTGAACCACTAACTCGAACGATTTTTACACTTAAAAGTTGTGCATCCATTGCCGGAGCACGGGTGTGCTCTTGTGAAACGGAAGAAGAAATGCTGCTGGAGTGGGTTAGTTTTGTGAAGGCGATTGACCCTGACATTTTTACAGGGTATAATATCAGCAACTTTGATTTCCCGTACCTGCTCAATCGCGGTGCTGCGTTGAGGATCAACGCCGCATTTCATTATTGGGGTCGCCAAGTAAACGAAAGAACTGTCCCGCGGGAGAAAAAGTTTCAGTCTAAGCAGATGGGTAACCGTGAGTACACGGAGTTGACACTTGAGGGACGGGTGATTTTGGATGTTATGGTGGTCATTCAACGTGACTACAAACTGCGTTCCTACTCCCTTAACGCAGTGTCCCAGCACTTTTTGGGTGAACAAAAGGAAGACGTGCACCACTCCATCATTTCGGACCTGCAACAAGGAAACGAAGAAACACGACGACGGCTGGCGGTGTACTGTTTGAAGGATGCTCTTCTACCTGTAAAGCTTCTGGAACGTCTGATGATAATTGTAAATAATGTGGAAATGGCGCGTGTGACGGGGGTTCCGATTCAGTGGCTTTTGGAGCGTGGGCAGCAGATCAAGGTTTTTTCCATGATGCTGCGCAAGGTCAAGGCTAAAAGCCTCGTCGTTCCAACAGTAGAGTACTCTGGAGGCGGCGGTGACCAGCGAGGCTACGAAGGGGCCACTGTTATTGAGCCTTTAAAAGGATTTTACAACTGTCCCATTGCCACCCTTGACTTTGCATCGCTGTATCCATCTATTATTATTGCCCATAACTTGTGCTACTCCACGTTGGTCCGGCCCTCCGAAATTGCACGATACCCAGCAGAAATGTTGAGCCGCACCCCCACTGGCGACACCTTTGTGAAGCAGGAACTTTTCCCTGGTATTCTTCCCGAAGTGTTGCAGGACCTGCTTGCGGCTCGGAAACGTGCCAAAGCGTTGATGAAGGATATCCCCATGGATTCTCTTGAATACAAAGTTTTGAATGGTCGCCAGTTGGCCCTTAAGGTAAGTGCGAACTCGGTTTATGGCTTCACAGGGGCACAAGTAGGGAAACTACCGTGTTTGGAAGTCAGTTCTTCTGTCACAGCGTATGGGCGGTTGATGATTGATCAAACTAAATCCCTCGTGGAGTCTCTTTATCCGGGTGTTAAGGTTGTATATGGTGACACTGACTCCGTGATGATTAAGTGTGCGACGGACGAGAAAAGAACGGACAAAGAGCGGTTGGAGTGTGCAATGTCGTTTGGCAAAGCAGCGGCAGAGAAAGTGTCAAGCCACTTTTTAAAGCCTATCAAGCTGGAGTTTGAAAAGGTGTATTTCCCTTACTTGTTGATGAACAAGAAGCGGTACGCAGGACTACTATGGACAAACACCGAACGTTACGACAAATTGGATGCAAAAGGCATAGAGACTGTGCGACGTGATAACTGTCCACTCGTGGCCAGTGTTATTTCTGGGGTATTAAATCGAATTCTGATACAGCGATCGGTGGATAGCGCAGTGGAGTTTGTTAAGGGGACGATCCGCGATCTCTTGTTGAACCGACTTGACATTTCTCACCTCGTCATCACTAAGTCGTTTTCCAAGGCAGAGAACGAGTATGCGGTGGCACAGGCGCACGTTGCCCTTGTTGAACGAATGCGCAAACGTGACCCTGCATCTGCGCCAAACATTGGTGATCGCGTGGCGTATGTCATTGTTCGAGCAGCTCGGGGTGCCAAGGCGTACGAACGAAGCGAAGATCCCATCTATGTGCTAGAAAACAATGTTCCAATTGACACCCAGTATTACCTGGAACACCAACTCGCACCACCGCTTCTACGCGTGTTTGAGGGTGTCCTCGATGACCCCAGCGTTCTTATCAAGGGGGACCACACACGCCATGTCTTGGTGTCAGCGCCCAGCAAAAACGCCGGGGGGCTGATGAAATTCGTCAGAATTCAGCTTCAGTGCCTTTCATGTCGTGCTGTCATAAAAGAGGGAGCTCTCTGCGACGACTGCCAGCACAAAGAGGCTGAAGTCTATGGGAAGATTGTGGCGAAAAGAAATCACTACGAGGCAATCTACTCTCAGGTTTGGACTCAGTGCCAGCAGTGCCAGGGATCACTAAATCAGGAGGTTATCTGCACAAGCAGGGATTGTCCAGTGTTCTACATGAGAAAGAAGGTCCAAAGGGATGTCAAGGAACAGCAAACGCTATTGGACCGTTTTGGTGTCGTGGATGACTGGTGACAGCCACGAAACTTCTTTCTGCTAAAGTGGACGGAGGAACTCAAAAAAAAAGAAAAAAAAGGAGGTGTAGGAGCTCCATCGCGGGGAGAAGAGAATCTGAGACGATATCGGCACCTTTCTACCCACAAGAGGGAAGGTGAAAGGGAGAAACCCCTATGGTAGGAAAGACTTGTGTGCTTTAGTTTCTTTGATCCTTTTTGCTGCATACAATTTGTTCTTATTATCTGGCTCTTTTTCCTTCTTTTCTCTCCTGGTTTTCTTGCCTTGTCGCAAACACTGTGTTTTATCAACACTAACTGTAAGTCGCGCCGATGACAACGATGCATCCGAGTCGTACTGAGAGGCAGCGGCAGGACCTGCATACCGCAAGTGATCTGGATCGTCGTATGAACGACCTTGCGGCGGCAGAGTTGTACGAACAGATATTACTGGGTTGTGTGCGTGCCGGGATGAATCCTAATGAGAAGAGCGAAGTGGAAGAATACGAAGGGTACGTTGAGCCCACGTTTGACCCTGTGCAGGGGGATCGGGTAGCTGCGGCGAAGCGGTCGCAACTTTTGGAGACCTACTGCGAGCGTGAGAACATCATTCGGAATCTTCGGACCTCACCACAGCACATGCAGCTCGGCTCTTTCGACCGTCTCTTGATAGAGACAGAGTACTGGACAGGCGTGAGGGAGTGGAGCGGTGGCAATAAGGGCGGCAATAACAAGCGTCTGCGCCGCTCCCACGGTGACGACACAGATGAAGACCCAGTAGGATTTGATATTCTGCACCTTACTGGGACCCCGCCATACATACGGGGCAAACTGCGGCCGTATCAAATTGAGGGTGTGAACTGGTTGTTGGGTCTTTTTTCTCGCAATATAAATGGCATTCTGGCGGACGAGATGGGTCTTGGCAAAACGCTGCAAACCATCGCGACTCTGGGGTATCTAAAGTTTACTTACGGACTCCCCGGACCACATCTTGTGGTCTGCCCGAAGTCTGTCATGGGCAACTGGTACCGGGAACTCAAGCATTGGTGCCCGGCGCTTAACGCCTTTAAGTTTCACGGGTCCAGTGAGATTCGTCCACAGCTTATAAAGTCACATCTTCAGCCGTACGAAAAGTTGAAATACGACGTTGTTGTGACCACGTTTGAGATGGTACTCGAGGAGCTAGCAACGTTCAAACGCATCCACTGGCAGTATTTAATTGTAGATGAGGCCCATAAACTCAAAAATGAAGAGAGTCGCGCCCACACTGCCTTGGATTCTCTTAACACGAATCACCGTCTTATTATTACCGGAACTCCATTACAGAACAACCTCAAGGAGCTATGGGCCTTGCTGCACTTTCTTGCTCCACGCCTTTTCGACAATGCCGAATCCTTTGAGGCCTGGTTTGACACCGCGAGTGGTCAACAGGATAGTAATGCCATGTCAAACATGCACAAAATACTTGCTCCGCTTATGATTCGTCGTGTAAAATCGGAAGTTAGCACCGGTATTCCACCAAAGAAGGAAATTTATGTCGCCTGCAAGCTGACTAAAACGCAGCGCAAGTGGTACATGCACGTATTGGCGAAGGATGCTGATGCACTTAACAAGGCATCTGGAGGGAGCATGTCTTCTCTCACGAATATCCTGATGAACTTGCGCAAAGTCATTAACCACCCGTATATGATGAATGGTGGGGAGGAAGGGCCACCCTTTATCACAGATGAACGCATTGTGAAATACAGTGGAAAAATGTTGATTCTCGATAAATTGCTGCATCGCCTTCAACGTGAGGGGGATGCGAAACACAGGGTTCTTATCTTCTCACAGTTTACTACTATGTTGGACATCCTGGAGGATTACTCTGCAATGCGTGGATTTAAGGTGTGCCGTATAGATGGCAACACAAGTGGGTACGACCGTGACGCCCAAATGGCGGCCTTTAATTCACCCAACAGTGATCATTTTATTTTTCTACTCTCTACCAGAGCGGGGGGTCTTGGTATCAACTTGCAGGCAGCAAACCATGTTGTCATCTACGACTCTGACTGGAATCCACAGATGGATTTACAGGCGCAGGATCGGGCTCATCGAATTGGCCAAACAAGGGTGGTACGTGTCTACCGTTTTATAACAGAGGGTACAGTGGAGGAAAAGATCTACCGCCGCGCACTAAAAAAACTCTACCTTGACGCAATGGTAGTGCAGCATGGGCGTATGCAGGGACGTGGCGGAAACAATGCCTCCAAAGAGGAACTTCTTTCCATGATCAAGTTTGGTGCGGAGGAGATTTTCAAGACCAAGGATGAGGACATTACGGAGGCTGACATTGATCAACTCTTCGATGGGGAGGAGAGGTCCACGCAGCTCAACTCTGCCATTAAGGAACAGGTTCAAATGTCATTGGCAAGTTTTCAACTCGGTGCAGAGGAAGCAAATGTTTACGACTTTGAGGGCGTAAGCTTCAAGACCGGTGCCGAGTCACGTATGCTTCACCTCTCACTTTCAACCCCGGTCTCACAGGATGAGTTGCACCGGCAATGTTCCGGGCACGGCGAGGTAACAAAAGTAGTCTTGCACCCAAACCTCTCCGAAGCTCTTGTATTTTTTCGCTCCACAAGTGGCGCCATTGAAGCTAAGGATAATCTGCCGTACAACTGTCAATTCGCCTCAAAGGATGCACAAATGGTTGTGCCCAAGGAAATGATTACAGAATATCTGAACGTTGGTGAGAAACTTGGACGTGGTCACCGTTTGCGGGAGGCGATTCGCCATTATACAGAAGAGGATGTGGAACTTATGCAAAGTCGTGTCACAAAGGCCCCTCGTTTGCGCCTTCCAAAGAGCCCCAAGTTCCCCCCACATCAGCTGTACAACGCCAAGCGCCTACAAGAACTTTACGCGACGGAAATTGCCTTGATGGTGCAGAATTGGAAACGAAAATATGAGCCCTCGGGTGACGGAGATGCGGATCAACGGGAGCATCAGGAAGGCATGGGAGAAGAGGTGACCGATTGCAACACGGGAAAGGAGGAGGTGGAGGAGGACGAGACACTGACTATCGTGGAGCAAGAAGAACGGGAGCGGCTTCTTAATGAGGGGTTCTCCAATTGGAGCTTTCAAGAGTATCGCCGCCTTATTGGGGCACTTACCAGCGGCGCGTATGATGTGACTGATTACCCGGGACTTGCTAGTGTTATTGCCTCTGATAAGACGGTGGGGGAGGTGCGTGATTATTTGACGGCTGTCCTCGAGCGTGGGACGCAGTGTATTAAAGGGTTTTCACATATTGAACAGCGTATCAGGAACGCTCAGGAGAAACGAAAGAGGAAAGAGGATGAACTGCGTGCCGCCAAGTGGAAGGTTGAGAGCTATGATCATCCGGAGTTACAACTCACCTTTAGGGGACGTGGAGCTCATGAATTTGATCGTCGGCTTTTCCTCATGGCGTACGACACGGGTTTTCGAACGAAGAATATAGGCCGAGTTGTGAAGGGGATGCCAGAGTACCGCTTTGACGTGTGGTGTCAATCAAGAAGCGACTCCTACTTTGAACGTAGGGTGGGGATTCTAATGAAATCAGTGAGGAGAGAGTGGGAGAAACCAAACGGCGAGACGCTGGAGCCACCACTGCGTCGCCCAAAACTTGACGCTGCTGCAACCGATTAAACCAAAATAAAACAACAGAACAACAGAAACTATGATGAATGTGAAGTGAAAATGGAAAGAAGGACTGAAATGGAAGACTATAAAGGGATATCCTATACATGCATTTATATTATTGTAGAATGATGAGGCATAAATGAGGGAAAGGGATATAATTTTTATAGACAGATAAAAATGATGCGTTGTTTATTGCTTCTACGGTGGTTCACGGCCGTGGCAGTTTCATGGATGTTGCACACGCCCGTACCTCAGCTTCTTCTCTCTTTGAATTTATTCACTGTTTTTTTTGGTACTTGTGTTTGCCCCTTTTTTACCCTCGTATCCACGTTTTTTTGTTTTTGTTATTGTTGTTCTTTATTCCCAAGTGATTTTAGTTTTTCTGGACGGCGTTCGTTTCGCGCTTCAATCTACAGATTTACTGCAAATGGCGATTGGGGCCACCCCGAAACACCTTGGCAGCACAGTGGAGTTGTACCACCTGTTGGGATCGGGTGGGTTTGGTAAGGTGTACTTTGCCTACGAGAGTAAGCGGGAAACCAACGTGGCTGTGAAGGTAATTGACAAAACAGTGGTGGATAATTTCGGTATAAAGGATTACGTGGACCGGGAGATTGAGGTGATGCGGAGGCTGAGACATAAGCATGTTGTGAAGCTACTTGACGTGGTTGAGTCAGCGAAAGCGTACAATCTTGTTATGGAGTTGGCCCCGAATGGAGAGCTATTTGACAAGATTGTGACCTTAGAGCGTTTTGATGAAAAAACGGCCCGTCTCTATTTTCAGCAACTTATCTCTGTAGTGCACTATTGCCATAGCCTTAATATTGCACACCGCGACCTCAAGGCAGAGAATCTTCTTCTTGGTGAAAGGAATGAGTTGAAGGTCTGTGATTGGGGCCTTGCTAGGTACACAAAAGAGGGACAGTCCTTGAATGAACCTCCTATTCTTTTTCACTCACTTGCGGGAAGCATCGACTACCAGGCACCAGAGGTGTTTTCTCGTCAGGGATATGAGGGATTCGCATGCGATATGTGGAGTTGCGGGGTCATTCTTTTCTTTATGATATGTGGATATCTTCCGTTTGCAGATGTAACAGACGCCGAAACCAAGGGGCGTATCCTTAAGTGCAAATATAACGCGAGAAACCGCTTCCTTTCTCAGGAAGCCAGTGATCTTATTGCGCATCTATTGCAAGTGGATCCGAAAGACCGCTATGACACATTGGCTGTCGTTGCTAACCCCTGGTTCCAGGTGGACTTAGATCCAAGCCTCTTTCCTGATACAACTCCGGTCACTCCGTCCTCACCAAACAGTCCAATGAACGATGGGACCTTTAAGCAAATTTACACACCGACTGAAGGCTACGAAGGCTGTTATTCATTGTCAACAGAAAATATGGATAGAATTCACCAAGCCTTCGTCACGTGCAATGTCGGTGGCACTGGGCTTCTCAGCAAGGACGAGGTACGTGACGCACTTATCAAGCTTAACGATTGTCACCCGGTACCGAATGAGGAGGTGGAAAAATTCATGTCCAAATTTTCGCTGGATGAACATGGCCGTATTTCCGAGGCGGAGTTTACCCTTGGCTACATAAATCATCGGGATCTTGGAAAGAAGTACGATATTGATCGTATGGCCAAACTGTTTGACTGTAAACTGGAGAACGAATTCGTTGAGGAGCTTCGTCGAGCGTTCAATGAACTTGATGTGAAGCATATGGGCTTGATTACGCCAGAGAGTCTAAAGGATTTGAATTTAGAACTTACCGAGGAAGATATAAAGGACTTCTTCGACGTCATTGATCCCGATAATAAAGGAACTCGAGCAATTACGTTTGAAAAATTTATCGATATATGTTTGAGGCTTGATAAGTTCAAAGAACACCCCTTCATACAAGCAATCCGCCGCTCCGATAAATTGTTTAATTTTATCGACAGAAATTTGTTTCATCAATATTTAGGTACGGGGTTTAAAGTTAGGGGGAGGCCAAGGTATATTTGTGATCTCCTCAAGTCAAAGCAAAAGGAGCTCTCAACGCAATTTGAGGGTAATGCTCGTGGGACCATCTATGCGACCTATACAGAGTCGAATAAAGTTGTACTTTACGTTGGTGTCCGTCTCATAGCCATTGTTGAAGGTTACACCAAAGTGGCACCGTACCGCATTGCTGGTAGGACAACGGTGTTTCATCACTGGTTTTTGGAATTGCGTAAGGAACTTATGAAAGAGATTTTGGGTTGTGAGCACGACATAGCTGTGAAGGGGAAACCAGAGCTCATATAATGGGGGCGCAGTCACTCCGTGGGGAACGGGAAACTAATCATGTGGTTGCCTCGTTCGGGAATAAAGGGAAGACTGCGGATTGACACGGGTCAGGTGGTTGACATGTGCTACATACACGTAGAGAGTGGGTCTCTTTACTATTAGTGTCATTTCCCCAACATATGTGTGCGGGTTGTTGTTGTTTGTTTCACCTCCCTTTTCCAGTCACTGAACTAATATATATATATATATATATATATATATGTTCGATTCACTCGAGGTGCGGGATGCTCCCTCTTCCGCCCGTTCATGTGGCGGTGGAAGAGAGAGACGCAGTGAAAAAGTATCTGCCAAGCCACAAAAGATTCTGAGAGATAAAAAAAAAAAATAACAGGAAGTATGGAACCACGCGACCAAATCCTGTGTAGCTTACGCGCGGGGAGAAGAGTGGACCTACATTGAAGAGAGAGTATGGTCGCTTGGGTGTACTTGTACACGGAGGAAGAAGAAAAAAGAGAAGCAGCGCGGGAAGGAGGTGTGACGTTACGAGAGCGTATCGTTTTCTCTTGTTTATTCCCTTATGTGGTCCTTTTACATTTCCATATTTTCTTCCCTGACGGTGCCATTTTAGGGGATGGCAGGAAAGACGATTGCGTCTAACGTTTATTTATTATTATTATTTTTTTCTGAGAACAACTCCAACTACAAACATCTTTTTTTTCTTTTGCTAATATGCTGCAGTAGGGATCATCAAACGGTAGGTCTTGGGAGATAAGTTTCGTTTACACGAAACTTGTTAAAAGGACAATCTCTACAGCCCCTTCATTACCTTTGGAAAATACCTTTTTGAACAAAAACTTGCTACTTTGCGTGCGTCGCGATGGCCCAGCTACCTTTTTATTTGAACTTTGCCCAACATCTGCGCCACATTTGCACCACCATGTGGATGGCACACCCGCCCTGGAAGAACAGTATATTAGCTCGTTTTGGACGGGGTGGCCGAGCGGGCTTGGCCAGGCCACGGGGATAAGTGCTTTTCGTTTACAGTGCCGTGCAACCGAGGGTGCCTCCGGGCCTTCGAAGTACTCGGGGCGGAATGACACGCAAAGTGATCGGCACCACATTACCAAGATGTCTGTGTGCCATGGCCCAGTTTCACAGGAAGTCTACACGAGTGGCGTGCTGCCGGCAGGCGGTTTCAGGAACTCCAGGACTAGGCGTTTCGGATTTAGGAGGTTAGCAGCCAATGGGCAGCCGGAATCACGGAATCAGGGGCTCGGCTAAGTGAGAAGAGGGCGCGGATTCAAAGCCTGTTGAGGGAAGGGTTTCACCAAAACCTACGCCGTCACGAGTTCCTTTCCCGGCGACCACCCGCAGCCCCATAATCAGATACGCGGCGCGCCCTGCAAGAAGGGTTGCGCAGACAGTTCGGCAGGCACCGGCCCGCGCGATGCTCACGAGCAGAGTGGAGCAAAGCCAGGCCCC